AGAGAGAGAGAGAGAGAGAGAGAGAGAGAGAGAGAGAGAGAGAGAGAGAGAGAGAGAGAGAGAGGAGGAGAAAAGAATGGGAGAGAAGAGACCTTCTTCTTCTTCTTCTTCTTCTTCTTCTTCTTCTTCTTCTTCTCCTTCTCCTCCTCACCCTCCTCGTCAGGATGCTGTGTTGTTGATGCTGAGACACCTTCCAGATGACTGAATAGTTGACAGGACTGGGTGCAAATTCTGCCGAAGACGATGATATTCAACGCTCCCTCTAGCTTCAAGTGAACTTTTTTATGAGACGAGTTGGGTAGGGAGGCCTAGAGGAAAGAAAGAGGGTTATTGGTCGTGGTGCTCGAAATGAATGAAAACGAGTTACAGCATTCTCTAGGGCAGATTGCAAACTGTGGTACTCAAGCAAGTGATGGACTCCAGTGTGTAACAAAATACTGATTCAATTTCTGGTGATGCATAACTTGCCCACTTCGGGCTATGGAACTCTGGGCTCGTGTTTCTTTGTTAACATTGTTTTTGTTTGTTTCTGTGGTCCTTTGAACGTTTTGTTGTTTCCGTTTGTTTCTGTTTGATTCTGATTGTTTCTATTTGTGTTTGTCCGTTTCTGTCGGTCATGTTTGAATTGGGTTAGTTGGTTTGGTTCACGTTTGTCGGTTGGTTTGTTTGTTTTGTTTGTTTTGTTTGTTTTGTTTGTTTTGTTTGTTTTGTTAAACTTGTTTGGTTTGTTTGTTTTGTTTGTTTTGTTTGTTTTGTTTTGTTTTGTTTGTTTGTTTGTGTGTTTGTTTTGTGGGGTTTGTTTGGTTTGTTTGCTTGTTGTTTTGGTTTGCTTTGGTTTGCTTTGGTTTGCTTTGGTTGCTTTGGTTTGCTTTGGTTTGCTTTGGTTTGCTTTGCTTTGGTTTAGTTTGTTGTTTCGGTATGTTTGTTTGTTTGGTTGGTTGGTTTGTGTGGTTTGTTTAGTTTCTCCAGTTTGTTTGCTTGTTGTTTTGGTTTGTTTGGTCTGTTTGCTACGCCTTGCTTTGGTTTGGTTTAGTTTGTTGTTGCGGTATGTTTGTTTCTGGTTGGTTGGTTTGTGTGTCTTGTTTCTCCGGTTTGTTAGCTTGTTGTTTTGGTTTGTTCGGTCTGTTTGCTTTGTTTTGCTTCGGTTTGGTTTAGTTTGTTGTTTCCGTATGTTTGTTTTTGGTTTGTTTGTTTTGGTTTGTTTGTCGATGTTATGCGCTCCACTTTAGACTGCTCCTTTGTCTGGAGTCCTTTTTCCTGATAGGAGTTTCGGGCTTCCCAGGTCGTATCTTTTACCTCTTAAGTGATGGACTCTGAATGTTCGATGTACAGATTTTAATGCATGTCTCAGTGCATGAGTGCAGGAGGTCAATTGCACATGTCCAAGATTGCTTTCTCAGATGACTAATTAGTAATTACCTTGCCGAGGGCAAATCCTGCGCCATCCTGTCCTGTAACTGACATTTCTTTAAATTTGGGAGTTGTGTTTGTTAAACTTTGTTTGTTTTGTTGTTGTTTTTGTTGTTGTTGTTCTTTTTTTTTTTTTTTTTTTTTTTTTTTTTTTTTTTTTTTTTTTTAAACAGAACCTTACGGTTCTGGCTCCTTTTCCATTCTGGGGAGCATCAGTCCGGTTCCTATTCCACCGGCAAGTCAGAAATGACACACGCTCCTCCCCTTTATGGTAGGAAGGCCCGGAAGACGGCATTGATTACTTCCCATGGGAAGGATGTACCATCATTCACCCCTGCCTAAGTTAGCCTATCTGACATAAACCTGGGCTTGTAAGGCCTCTCGAAATTGTGAACTCTGTAATGTGGTATCTGTCTGTCGTACTATCTGAACTTTCCCTAGTTCTTCCTCTCAGCTATAAGGCTGTCAGATCTGTGTGTATTGCTAGTAGAGCTAGGTTTGTCTTCCACTGATCTTTAATCCTAATGTTTTTTTTTTTAACTGTAAGAGCATAATCGGTGTGTCCCTCATGAAGTCCTCCTGAAAAACATTACCATTCCAAACCTTGTTTGTGTAATGATTCATAGCTTTTATTCTTCCGTTTCTCCTCTCTTCTAACCCATTGCCACATGCTCATCTGCTTGTGTATGTGTGTGTGTGTGTGTGTGTGTGTGTGTGTGAGACAGACACACACACACACACACAG